TGTATTTTTCTAAAACATTAAGCGCTTCCTTTCCAATTAGGGCCTCTTATCGCACGTTTTCCGCCGAAAAGCCTCCGGGCTTTTCGACATTGTGGGATTTTCCTGTGAGCGAGATTCGGGGAGATTATTACATTTCAAAAAATTAAATTAGAGATGAAAGCACATGTTTATCGCGAAGACAGGAGAGACGAGAGAGGGTAGAGAGGAGTGAGGCTAGAGGCTAGAAAGTAGAGAGGAGAGATGGTAGAGAAGAGAAAGGGTATATAGGAATGAGGGTAGAGAGGAGAGATGGTAAGGAGGAGAGGGGCTGGAGGGTGGAGAGGTTCGAGTAGAGATAGTCTAGAACAGAGAGAGGCTTGAGTGGAGGGAGGAGAGAGTAGAGAAGAAAGGAGGGATACAATTTTAATTAAATTAATCCCATCATTCCTGCAAAACCATGTTCCTCTAATAGTCTAATTGGCTAATTTTTTTCTACTTGTTCAATTGGATCTGGAATTAACTAATCTGTTAGTGGAGCGCAAGAGTATGAGTGCATTTGCATTTATTGGCCATTCGACTCGTGCACTTTCCGGTGTTTCCTGAATCTCCGAGTTTTACCGCTTCACAATCAGATATCTCGCGCAAGAATATAAATTATCTGCTTAGGTTGATTTAAGGCTCTATAATCTCGATGCAAGGGGCGTCCATTAAAGTTGATCAATATAAGTATTCGACGTTGTAACGAGATGGAAGATATGAAAAGTATTGTGAAGAACTTGTATACAGGGTGTTGAGTGGCGATACTTTATTGCAGGATGTGAATATTTGGGCGATTTTAAGAAGAAAAGTTTATATCAATATATCTCCTAAACCTCTTAGTTTTCGAGCTACAAGAAATTTCTTAAAAATATTTGGAATAATAAGAAAATTATGACAGAAAAGTTATTTATTTTTTCTAAAACTGTAACACGCTGTAGCTGTTTTAATTGTAATTCAAGTCATCGTCAGTAAGATTGAGTAAATATTTAATTAAATTAGACGAATAATCGTTCGGGAATTGGGGAAGTACGATGGATTAGAAGACCTTATTCTTGACGTGAGTTACGGTGGCGGTCTGGTAGCAAGTTTAACGTGATGAATTACAAATGAAAATTAATTAACCGAATTATAAAGTCTAGTATTAGTATGGAATGGCTTTTATTCGTACATACAAATGCAAAATTATTTGCAATGTGGTCAAATTATTCAGTTGAACAAAGAAAGATTATTTAAAAACAATGGTAAGAGCAAGGAAGTTATTTTGAATGCGTCAGGATGCACTAGAACTAGTTCAGGACAATTGATAATGTTTCTGGATAAATTAGAACCAGTTTAGGACTATTTAGATTGCTTCGAGAGAGGCACTAGAACTGTTTAGAACAATTTTGAATGATTTTTCCTTCATACAAGACTAATACAAATTATCCTTGTATCATCCTGTGTAAATAACGAATGTATACATTTTGTAACTAGATTTCCACAATATTTTTCAACAAGATCGAATCATACTGTATGTATACTAAACTCTTCAGAATAAACCTCTCGGGATCAGTAAATATTTATATTTTTTTATACATAGATTAGAGGATAAATGTAAATGTCCTTTGAACCAAGTGACGATAAAATTTAACAAAAAAATACCAAAGCTTTTTATCTAGATACTGGTTGTAAAATCTATTAGCAAAATAAAAAGGACTTTTGGGCGTTTTGGTTAAAAAATAAGTTGAATTTTTTACCCTTTTAATCTACTGTTATTTACGACTTGAAACATTGATTACGATCAATGGGAGAATAATTCGTTCCCATCGTAATAAATTTTAAAATCTACCGAGATGTATTTCTGCATAAATGTGCGGGACAAAAACAAAAATCCGAGTGGTAACTAGCCAAATGCGAATTCGCAAAAGAACAATTCGCTATAGTTTCCATTACCCATTCCATATCGAGCGTGCAAATTGAAATCAGGTTCACTCTTTGAGCGGAATTCAATTTCCTAAAGGCGCTGACAAAACCACACCTCTGCGAATCGAACTATCGACTGCAATTGGATTCTGCAACGTTTTTGAGCAAATATCAAATTTTCGTTGATTAATTCAAAACGAAATCGCCCACCTGCAAATCATCGAATTTAACGCGAAAATTCTATCCAGAGCCTGATTTTTTTACTCGATTCTTCGCGCTCAATCGACTGTTAAATTCGGAATTAAATTATAGCTTTTTATACGATAACTAGCAGTAAGAATGTTTGAATTTTATCCGGGAAATCTCTCAGGTGATTTGCACGCTCTGAAATATTTAGGTAATTAAATTCCGAATTAATAACAATTTAGTAGTTTCGCTTTGAATACAAAGTGGTTCATTAAAACAATAGGTACCAGAAAAGTGAGTAATATGCAATTTCGTAATTAATTATTGCACAAAACCTAACGAGTTTCGATCGATTTTAACTTTAATAATTCATTCGGAAATTCAAAATAAAAATACACAATTTTTGCGAGTACGACGATTCTATTAGACTCGCGCCAATGTAAATTTTTAACTTTATAAATATAAATGACAGGTCGGGAATATGAGGCTGTTAACAATTTATAGCAACACACTATAAAATTTACAAATTGTAATCTAAACGTACAAGGAAAATGTTATTCCAGATAACTACTTATTTGTTTCCAAAGACCCGATCTTAAATCACACTGTACCAATAAAACTCAGTTTAAATTGGCCAAATTTCCTTCACGACAATCGTATTTTTCTAATGGTTCCTATCCAAATTAGGACAGTCAAAACACACATCCAAAACACAATCAAATTCAACGGACCTTACAAGCAGATAAGCGTATAAGTAATTGCCCCATCCGATGCGGTTCCTGCGCCAGATTCTAATTAGAGTTACAACCAGTAATATTCACCCCTTCTGTTTGCCTACCGGGGTTCACAGGTTAATGAAAAAAACCCATGTGACTGTGACTATTAGCTCAGGCCCGTTCGGCAAAGTTCGCCCTCACGCCCAGCAGATGATTTTTCACTCTTTCCCTTCATTTAATCAATTATTCTCAATTTTCGACTAGTACTCTACTACAGTACAGAGGAAATAATTAGACATACATGTGAATTTTTAACTATTCCTGTACTATGTAGATATCCACTGTATATGTACTCTTATTTAAAAATCATAAAGAGTAGATAATACTTTGTAAATTTTTAAATTTATTCTCTTTGCAGTTCTACCAACTTGTTTTGTAGAGAATGAAAAGCGGCGACGCCTCGCGCACAAATCATTTTTATTTTTTCGAAAAAAAAAATGTAACGCCTTATTATAACAAATTAATTCGCATTCCTTAACGAGTGTCGTTAATCCGAGATACTCGGAGTGTCTGAGGTTACAAGAATGCTTTTTTTTCGCTTTCTTGTGCTGTGTTTTATTAATGCCTCGGAAAAGGAAAACTCGTTAGCATTGAAAGAGATATTAAGTACATTGGGTTTTATCTCGCTGTATCGTTTTTATGAAAAATTACAGGGATTATGATGGTTCAGTTTATAGCATTTTCCCAAATCACCGTTATTTATGAATTATAGTTTTAATTCTTCTGGATTGCTTTAATTGAAGGTAATAAAAGTTTAAAAATAAAGCGCATTTTCGAGCTTTTCAATAAGAACTTTCGTTGTTTTAGGTAACGGCAGGAGTTTAATGTATACTTTTATTGCTCTTTATTTCCGAATCATCGACTTTCTGAATGTCTCTTTCGTTATTTGAAATTCCGATTTCCCAAAGGTAATAGGACCATTTCACTCTTATACTGATGCGCTTTCTGACTGATCAAAATAACCTGATTAATCCGACGATTTACACTGATTTTGGGCACTTTTATGGCCTACATAAAAAAAATAAAATCATTATTGAGATTAAAAAAACGAGGAAAAACAAAAATACCATGTAGAGCATTGTGTGTGTAATACAACATTTACGATCGTAATAAAACAAAAGGGAAATAGCACAATAGAATAGAGTACAATTCGCAGAGATCTACTTAACAGGTAGTGTTTAATAACGTTAATTAAAGTTTGTAAACAACAAACAACATGCACAATAATAGAAACAGTTTCAGCGCACTTCGTAAAAAAACGGAATACAAAGTTGTTATACAATCGTTATAAACTTTGAACTTGGATATTCATCAAAACAAATCCACCTATAATAATGAAAACATTTTTCTATAGGGGTAATTTAGATTTATTTAAGTAAGTTAAAATATTAATAATAGTCTTACTGGTTTGAGATGAGAACTATTTCCCATTATTTCGCACTATTTCCCACTACTAACAATTTTTTTCGAAACACTAACGCCAACTTAACACCACTAAAAAATGCGCCATAATGTACCTATTCTATTTCGAAAAAAGTTTTCATCTAACAAATTTATTAAATCTGAATTTCACAAAAGTTGTTTCCAATATACAAATAGTTTAAGCTCGTCGTGACATACACGTATAGAGGGTTTCCCCATACGTATAAATTACTAACGGTAGAATAAACTCCGAAAGAGATTTGAACTTTGTAGCCGAAAACAAAGCCCTATCAACACCGTGGAGTTTCCAATATTGCATTGAAAGCGGCCAGATGGAGATGAGAATAAAGTAAATGTTTATTCCATTTAATTCTAAATGATGCCGTGTTATTATCGGGGGTTCGCAACACAAAAGCCAATAATTTACGCAGTTTGTTTGTTACGCTCCCATGGAAATGTCGAAGTTAATGGGAGCGAAGCTTGCCCGACATTGTTCGTTGTTTAAGAAGAAAAAAATGTAGAAAAATACCCGAGTAATAAACGGGAGTTATTTTTCACCCGAGTTTTTATTCGGGATTTTTTAATGTAACTCATTGTTCCGCGTACATCATTCGGCTTATTATTTATTATCATTGCACCTAATTATTTATAAAAATAGAGCGGCGCGAAAGAATCGACGATAAAATAAACGATTCATAGAGCGATAAAGTTTTATTGTACAATCGTAAGAAATTATGTATTTGTACATCCGCAGCTCTATCGCCTCCACACAATCTGCTCGATCCACGGAACGTAATAGGAAACTTTCGTATAAACTCCGGGGATTTGCGGCGTACCGCAACCGATACCGAACGAAGTTATCCCTACTAGGAACATTCTACCATTCGATTTCAGCTGAAGCGGCCCTCCCGAGTCGCCCTGTAACGTTAAACTCGCTATATGACTCCCAACGCCAATCGTGCGAAACAACTCACAACACCAAGAAGATTAAATGAAACTTATTCGGTGTATACAATTACCTGGCAAGTATCTCCTTCACCGTTTGGAGTCCCAGCGCACAATTGCGAGACGTCCTGAATGCCAAAGGGTAATTGGTCTTTGGGCACGATGCTGTAGGCCCTCTGGCAGGCATCTATAGGGATGTAATTCAAATTGACCTTTTGCAAATCCTTGGAAGCGTGACCGTCTTCGCTGGTCTTGCCCCAACCGGTGGCTGTTAGGCTCGTGCTGTACAAGGCAGGCGAAGTGTACAGGCAAATCGGCGAGATGTATTCATTGAAGACCACGCGCCTGTCTAATTCCAGCAAAGCCACATCGTTGTATTTGCTCCCTTTAACGTACTCCGGATGGGTGATTCTGTTAACGATATTATAATCTTCGGAATTCAATGTTTCGGTTTGCAAAACCGTGGTTCCTAACCGCACGTACGAAACGAGTCCTCTAAAAATGATTTATTTAGAACCGAAATTGAAGGAGTAATTGAAACTTACAATGATTTTGAGGATAGGCAGTGAGCTGCTGTTATTACGTATAGATCGCTTATTAAACTACCACCGCAAAGCCAGTTGTTGTTGCTATCACTTTTAGCGCCGTAACCTAAAGCGGCCTAAAATTCACAATTTAAATGATTTAGATATAACTGAATAATCGAAATTACCATATGAGGAAACTCTTTCTGTTCGGAACTCTGTCCTCCGATGATGAACACTTGCACGTGATTGTCTCTTGAAGATCTCGTTGAAGCAGCATTATAATACTCATTACACTCTGAAATATTCATTTAAAAATCGTTACCTACCTTTTACCAAATAAATCTCGCTTACTTTCTTCCGATATCCTCATCATGGCCGCGCTGGTAGTGTAAGGCGTCGGAATCGTAGCGGTACTAATTCCTGCGTTAACAGTACCATAAGAATTATCAAGATTTATGTTATTTGAAGTTGTTATTGGCTGATATGGTGCGTGGTTGCTATTGATTTCAATGACGTCCGATTCGGTGTTCGTCACCGGATAGATATTGACGAAGTAATTCGGCGAAGAGGTGATGTTTACGTGAAATTTCAAATTCGCCGGCACGTCGACTTGGAAATTGCCCGGGCTGGACAATCCTTGGGCGTTCGAGAAGTGTCCGGAAGAAATCTGTGCACTTGGAGTGGTACAATCCAAACCTAATAACGGTTTGATTTTGGAGAACGTGGAAGTTTCGATCGGATTCGAAGTAAAAGGAGCTGGTGTAGATGTTGTTGTGGCATCGGATTGTTTACTAGAAGCAGTAGAAGATGGTACTAGAGGAGCAGCACTAGAGGAAGTATCCGTAGTGGTTGTTTTAGAATAATTGAGAAAATATTGTGGATCTAGATAGGTTATCAAAGGTTCGATATCGAGTTGTTTGGGAGGAGCATCTTCGACTACCTTAGGGGAGCCCGTTGAATAGTTTAACATCATCTCCGGGTTAATGATGGTCACTAGAGGGGCCAAGGGTGTCGAAGGAGCGCTGCCGATGGCGTCGTTTGGTGCTGGTGAAGGAATGATTGTGTTTGCCTTGTTGATGTTTTCTCGTGGTGTTTGTGTACCTGCTGTAAACGCCGGCGGCGGCGTGACCGGGAAATTCGCGGGGCTCTGTTCAATTGGCAGTACTCCGGATTGATTGAAGAATGGTACCGGCCATAGATTGTAGTTCGGATTGCTCGGGTGAATTTCGCCGCCTCCGAATTCGGGCGTTACTATTCGGCCCTCTAAAATCGAAACAGAAGTAATACATCAAATATTAAATAACAACGAATCCGCAAATCGATGCATAATTTATTATTCTGTTCATTTGTAATAATATGGTTGTTTGCATTACCGGGGTATCGAACAAATCGCAATCAAATTAGGTTACGTTTCGTATAATATACCGATCGCTTCGTAAAATATTTAGGGAGTCATTTAATATTCTATTTCCATTTTCCGCGTTAAAGATGCGATAAAATGGGCGCTAATTTCTCGTTTGCGGCGCCCAAAGTTAAATATGCCGTATATTTATATTATCATTATGAGGGATATTTTTAATTCAGTTCTAGTTTAAAATTCATTTAGCTTGGATACAAACGAAGTTGCACGGTAGTGAGTTCGTTAAAAATCGAGCTGGCGTGCGAGGAAATTAAAAATGAAATTGTATCGTTTTGTAGAAACTGCATTTCCAATTTACCCCTGATTCGTGCGTCAATAATAAAATATCTCCTAACTAGTAATATTCCGTGGCTTTTTTATAATCCAATAACATTACCAACATTTAGTAAAACCGCCAAATTTAGTGACTTTTTAAAATTTATTTATTTATTATTATAAGTTAATTATATTTCTTTGTCCGTGTAGTTCATTTCGACGGACAATTTCTCGACTTTTTGACCCAATATAGCTCTATTAAAAGATCAAATTCAAAGAAAACTTACGGGGGTAGTTTCTTTTTGATATTCGTTTACTTACTCTTTCGCAGAACAATGGCGACGGAAACATCAACTGACAAACTCATTATAAAAACGACGAACAATGTATTTGTATGCATGGTGTGCGCGGCAATTCTAATAAATTTTATATAAACGATAATGTCGGGCTATTAGCGGCTACGGATCGAGATGAAACTACTCTAAACGAAAACTATTGCAGGAAGCGTGGATTTCCAACCAAAAGTTAATTTGATTATAATCATTTTTCATGGCATTATTATCCGCTTTACGTGTTAGTTTGATAAAAATATTAAGCAATCGACCTCGATATTAATACGTTACCTTTCGCGCGAAAATTGTCCGGGATTTACCGCTTTTTATACGGGGTAAATTAAATGATGTAACGCCGTAATTGGTTGTTCACTAATTCCTACTTTGCATGCAGTGAATTCGCTACATTATTCTCCAATTAACTGTATGAAAAATTTACCTACTTTTCCAGGAGTTTTAATTTGTTGGAGTCTTAAAGCCGATTAAATCTTTAAAAAGTTTCCGGTCGGAAGCGTCTCTGCGGGGCAAAAATAAGTTATTGAAGTGCTCGAGCGATTTCGCCTTTTACAATGCTTGTTAAGCCCGATGAAAAAGGATTACGATGGCACAACAAATCAAATTACTGGAAATGCGGTTAAAAACAGCAAACAAACCGCTTCGGTATTTACGAGGGTAAGCCAAAAAGTTCTCGAACGCAACGAAACCGCGATTTTCGGTTGAAAAATTACTTTATTCTCAATGATCTAGAGCATTCTAAATGACTATGGAGCTTTCAAAATGGTTCTAGACAATTTTAAATGATTCTGGAGTGTTCTAAGTCGTTCTAGACAGTTCTAAATGATTCTGGATTGTTCTGTAGGGAGTTCTAATTATTTAGGCCGGGAATTTTTCACCCTACCCTCGTATGCCGCTCGTCTTGTTTCTGCAAAGGAAGATCTCTCTCTAGGTCGAGTGACCGCATTTCGAATCGCTCCAATTCCTGATTGCATCGCAGGATTTAGCAGGAGTCGATTTTAATTGGAATCGAGCGCGATACAAATTTTTGATTTGCTCATGTAAATTTTACTGGTGTATAGCTAAAACTAAAACAGTTTCTGATTTACCGGCTCGAGCCCAGCTTATCTCGTTATCTGTACGTTTCCCCCAGGGAAATTAACATAAAGCGTTTTTCTTATTCTAAATCGGAAGGAAATTGCGAGCTAAAAAGTTTGTTATAATTTTCGTTCGACTGCATATTGCATAACTACATCCCGCGATTTCGAAGCGTAATTGAAACTCTTTATAAATACGCTTATTTCTATTCGCTTTGTGCGAGTTTACCTATGCTTTTTTTTTCGAGAGAAAGAACCTCCAGGTATCCGGCGTCTTGATATTATATCATAAGAAACTTTTGATGGCGATTTATCTTCGGAATAAAGTTTTATTAACCTGGCAGGCCTTTTTTCCTGCGTGGAATCTCGACGGATATTTTTCTTTTCTAAACGCTCTCCAAGATCCCCGCAATTGTTTCGTGTTCCACTCTCATTAATGGCTTCCTTTAACCGCCGACGATGGAGAAGAGGCGGAGATTTCAATTGAATTATCACCATTTCGTACCTTTTTTTTACGCTGTACTTAATTAAAGGTATATCCTTTATGGATCTAATGAAGCGGGTTATAATTGTTGCGGTAATATTAACAAACAAACGTTTGTTTGGAATTGTAATTTTTATTAGAAAATCGTTTCAATCGTCGACAGTATAAGAGGTAGTATCTAAATTAAATCTTCTCATTGTATCGTCTATCCAGTATCTAAATTTAGCGACGTCCGTGTAAACTCCTGGTACGTTCTCTTCTCCACAGCCTACTCCCCAGGATATGATGCCTGCTTGATAGTACCTGTTTTCTTTACCATCTATGGGACACGCCAAAGGGCCTCCTCCGTCTCCATTACAAGCGTCTTTGTCCTTTTCCCCGCCAGCGCACATGAAACTGGAATGCAGCTGGAACAACCTCCCGAGTCTCGTTTTGCGCAGGCTTGATTGACAATGCTGTGAAAAATGCGTTGTATGCACAATTGATTGATTTACTGCATAATCTTACTGTATTTGTGACGACTGGTAAGTCGATTTTCTTCAATATATCGTGGTATTTGCCCTGTTTTCCGAACTTATCCTTACCCCAACCTGTCGAGTAACACCGGTTCTTCTTGTGCCGGTAATCCTGAGGCGGTAGGCAAATAGTGCCAGTATTTTCGACCAGTTTTATAGGAGATACCAAATACAACAAAGCTATATCATTGAATAAAGCACCCGGATAATATGCATTGTGTATAACTACGGTATGCACGTCTACTTCTTGGTACGGAATCGGTTCTATCGTCCTGTTAATATCCCATTCGCCGGCCCTCACTTTCCACCTGGAAAACAGGAATAATAACAAGCTATTACCGGTCGCGAATGCGATTATACCGTTGGCTCCGGTTGATAACGCAATGAGCGGCCGTAACGACGGCTCGGGGGTGAATTAACGAACCGCCGCAGGCCGGTCTCGGATTGGAAACCGGCGACCAGCCGCTTTTGATGATGGACACCATCCAAGGGAATTCGGCGAATTGGGCTTCGTTCTGCGTACCGGTGATTCGGAGCCCGATGCCGTCGGGGCGCCGGTGACCGCAGCTGCTCGACGCCGGTTTGTTCGGCGAGAACCGCTGGTTGGTTACGAATTCGAGTTTGCAGCAGGATAAGAACGCGTTGCCGCAGGGACCGTCGTTTGATCTGAACGGAATTGATTTGTTATTCGATGGAGTGGATTGGAGTTGTTTCAACTGACCTGATATCGATCAAATTCTCACCGGTGGTGATGATACTTCCGTTCTCGTTGCACTGATAAAATGGCACGCACTCGTCCGTGCATTCCGTATTTTTCGGTACGTTGAATAGATTATTGTTGTCGACAACGTTTTCGTTGTTATTAGCAAACTCGCTTTCGGTGTTAACCGGCTTGTTGTTTTGTCTCTGCGCTTCGAATTCTAATAGAATCTGATCGATCTCGTCCATTAATTCCGTACTGAAGCATCGCGTGGCGAAAAATATTAATAGAATTATTTTCATTTTTATATGTAACGCACTTTTCGATGTCACAACATTAACTGTCTTTAAGTAGAAGGTCGTTTACCCAAACTATAATTTAATGGGTCTCGTTAATATTATTCATTAGAAGTGTCATTATAAGCATGGTTATTCTAAATAATGTTACACAAAAAGGATTTTCCCTAGGTATTTAATTTCCATCATAACTTACGTGTTTGCGTAATTAACTACTGATTTTTGATCACCAGATAAAATAGTGTAAGAAATTTCGTGAAAAATTGAATGGAAGGGTAATTTTATTCCAGAATTATATTACAAATAATTAGCTATTCCAGTCTGTAATCTAATAATAAAACAAACTAATTCACAATTATTATTTAATAAAACACGAATTTTTCAAATTATTTTTTATTGATTTTCAATTTCAACACCATACGAATACATTGCATATTAACAAATTAAAATCTCGGTTTCAAGCCAACGTTATTATCATAACTGACACTATCCAAATTATTTAAAGCCATTTGCTCATCAATCCAGTTCCTGAATTTAGCAACATCTGCATAAACACCCGGTACGTCTTTGTTCCCACAGCCGATACCCCAGGAGACGATCCCCGCGTGATAGTACCTCCAAGGCTCTTTCTCCAAAGGACACACCAAAGGACCTCCGCCGTCTCCGTTGCAAGCATCTTTTTCGGGCTCTCCTCCTGCACACATGAAACTCGAATGCAGCTGGAAGTACCTACCCAATCGGGTTCTACGCAAATTCTCCTGGCAAACATCTCGAGGAACAACGGGAAGGTCCACTTTTTTCAGTATAACAGGATACTGGCCTTTCTCGCCGAAATGCTTCTTACCCCAACCTGTTGTGAAACACCTGTTAACCCGGTGCTGGAAATCCTGAGCCGGCAGGCAGATTGTATTAACATTATCGTTTATCACGACCGGTTTGTCCAGGTACAGGAACGCTATGTCGTTATACAAAGCCCCCGCGTAGAACTCCGGATGGACCGTTATCGATCGCACTCTCACCTCCTGGTGAGGTACAGGCTCCACGGTTTTTATTATATCCCATTCCCCCGCTCGTATTTCCCACCTGCAACAAACACTCTTCCTGCAAATTTGCCGCGAAAATAAAACGATGAATCTACCACCTGGTGTTTTTATCTGCAACGCAATGAGCCGCCGTTATCACCGCTTGGGGATGGATGAGGGCGCCTCCGCATGAAGGCCTCGAGTTGGCCTCGTCTGCATTGCAAACGGTCACCATCCAGGGGAACTCCGCGAATTGGGCCTCGTTGTTATCGGCCCCGGTTATGCTGAAACCTATGCCGTCCGGGTTGCGGTAACCGCATCCCACGGGGGCGGTTTCGCGAGGCGGCGGCGGCGTCGACGGGCGGCCGGTGAGGATGTCTTCCACTTGGCAACAGGTGAGGAGGGACGTGCCGCAAGGACCATCGTTTATTCTATCGTGTAAAACTATTTATTTAGCGTTTTAATGGAAGTGGATTTCGGGTACTTACCTGATGTCGATTATGCTCTCGCCGTTGGTGTTAACGGTGCCGTTGTTGCATTGGTAGAACGGGACGCATTCGTGGTCGCAACTGGAACTGTTGAAGTTTTGATTGGGGTTCACGAATATTTTTTCTATGGATTCCTGATTGGGTTCGGTGGCGGGTGAATGTTCGGTGAATTCCTGCGAGCTGTTGGGCGGATCGGTGGTGACTTGCGATTGGAATTCGTCGATGATTTTGTCGAGTTCGAGGTCGAATTGCGCGAAAACCGGCGTTGAAAGTAACAATAAATGCAGGAAATTGTACATTTTTTTAAAGGTGGAATTTAATGTTGAAGAGAGGCTGCGAGGATACTGGTGCTAATGTCGCGAAGATTTCTTCGGATACCCGTTGAAGATTTTTAGTTTGATTATTTCATTAGCGGAGATGTTTGTTTTAGAATAGATTGATTTTCCAATGAGTAGTTAAAAGTAATTTGAAATCGTAAAGATGAAGATGAAGATAATCATAAAGAGTGTTATAGTAAGAATAATAGGTGTAAAAAATGAAATAGAATCGTACAGTAAGATACAGAGTAAATTTTTAACAAATTTTATTGAATTACATGTCACTTGTTTTTGAACTTGTTGTACACAAACATTTTTTATCTCTATACGCGTGAGGCAATAATGATAGTCATAATACAAGTAATTGATATTTAGCTATTTATGTGTAATAATAAGTTAAATTTTCTGCTTTTGTCGATACGCACATGCTTTATAAGGTCAATAACATCACTACCAGTTTCGTTGACTGTGCATCCTCAAAGGATTTTACGGATTTTAAAACTGGTTATTTAGCTCTGCTTGATTAATGAAATGCACAAATTTATTAAAAATCCTCCACATTAAACCAAAAATTTACCTATAATTTCAAGATACACAAGAAAGTTCCATTTTTATTCGATATACATGCGAAATAATAAAATCGTCGCAACTCAACAAATTTCCTATTACACAACAACAGAATTTTTCACTTTCCCTACTAAATATTCAGACATAAATACATGTATATAACATTATCGATTAAACCGGACGGTTTCGACTTGCAGATTCGCCAAAGGTCAAGTGTAATGTGTAACATAACTTCATGTAAATAATATAACGAATGCAGCACTGACCGCACATTAAATAATATATCCTACTCTGGAACAATAACATTTATTAACACTTTAGCACTTAAGTATACGCTTTATAAATCGGCAGTTCGTAAGTTTGAAAAAAGTTTCGCGCGTGGTTTTCGGATCTATTTTCGTAATCGAAAGTATATACACAATCGGGTTGGAAAAAAATTCGGTTGTTGTTAAATTCCTTTTGGATATGATGTTATTATCTGAATTGTAAATTGTGATTGAATTGTTGGAAGTTGGTTGAAAATTCCTCGAATTCCAAATAATGGATTTCTATTCGTTCTAATCGTTCGTTTTATGGTAAGTTCGTTCAAAAATATTTTAAAGGAGTAAATTATTTAATTAGAAATAATTGTCTCAAATTAGGAAGATTTGTTACATAATGTTGTTAAGTTGTTTATTAATTTTAATTTATCGCGAGTGTGCTAGTGTAGTGTTCTTAATAAATTATTTTTATGCTCAGAACATTTTAAATCATTTTGATGCTATACAAATCTAATTGAATATTTTATTCCAATAAATTTAATTGATATTGACTAGAAAAATATAATCCCAATTTGCATCGTAATATTTTTGTCCTATTTAATATGTAAATTTTAATCCATGTTTATTAATTTCGATTGGCACATTCTGTCGATTTTGTAAATTCATACATGTTAATTGTACCTTTTAATTGTAATTTTAATACACTGCATTTTTATACTCGACGCTCATTATTAACATAACGATTTCATTAATAAGACATTTATCGTTAAGATCAAAATATTTTCATTCATTAGGTACTCATTAATCCTAATTAATTCATTAATGATTGTACTAATAATAGAAACGGTAAATCGTTACAAAAGAACAGGCATTTTTTATTTCATCGACGTAATTACTTAATCGATTTGGCAACGAAACGATTCATTAAAAAATATATTTACTCTAATTCAATATTTATAGCGGTATAAACGGCGTTTATTTATTTAAAGTGGAATTGAAAAATAATTCGAACAAACTCGAAAATCGAAAAAAAATTCGTATAAATTACTATAGCTCAGTCACGAACAGTTTTGTGTATTTTATACAAAAAAAATGTATAGAAATTTAATAAAACCGTATATACGATGAAGGGTTTCAAAAGAGCGGATTTAATATTAAATAATACACCAACTGTGACCACACAACAAAATCCAATATCATAGTTCAGTGGATGACAAAAGCAATTTACATGATGAATGCGATAATCTTTTTTTGGCTTCGAATTATATTCGGCTCGAAGAGCCCTCGTTTACTTATTATAGTGCGATTCGTAAATTTACTTCTCGTTTAATAGGGTCTTTTTAGGGTCACTATAATTGTTAGAGCAACTTTAATATGTGTTTTATGGACCAATTTTTCATGCAACCCTATTTTCTTCGTTTTTCGATACATTACTGTGCCCAATAAAATCCCCTAAAGCCGGCAATTACGAGGGTAAGATGAAAAGTTCTCGGCCTAAAGTCCGAATATTTCGAACAAAATTTCGAACGATAGCTAATTTTAGTTGAAAAAATAACAATATTTATATTATTATACTGAAATTTTTAGTTCAAGACCATTCTAAATGATTCTAGAGCGTTCTAAATGACTTCTAAAAGAGCATTTTAAATGGTTTGAGACAGTTCTAAACGGTTTTGAAGAGTTTTAAAAGATTATGGAGCGTTCTAAAAGGTTCTAGACAGTTCGAAATTATTCATTCTGGAACGTTCTAAATGGTTCTAAATTGTCTTCACAGTCCTAAATGATTTTGGAGTATATATAATGGCTAGGTAATGTATAACTCAATAAGAAAAGACCCTGGTGTTTTTAAAAGAGAATAATAGTCCAAGGAAGAAGGAACCAAAGAACAAATCCAAGAAACAATTCCTTGAATTTGTTTTACATAACAAACTTGTTAATGTTATTTAAATTTATAAATGAAAATTTCCTGCCAAATCGTTCGATTCGAGCGACAATTAGACAGCGATTATTTCGGTTAATCCATTCGAAATGATCGAATTTTCTTTGTAAATCGCCCGCAAAGTGATATTATCCCGATGAAAACGGACGGGGGCGAATTTCCACCGGACTGTTTCGGATTGATTTTCAAACGAACGCCGACGTTACGAGTGTACAACGAAATTAGATAATGGGGATGCGATCGACGTCTATTCTTTATACGTTATTGATTGCTCGGGCATACTATAAGGTAAAGGATCTATTCGCGTTTCGTTAATTGTTTTAATTAGCAGAGGTTGTTCTTTATGGATCGATGAAGCGCTGTTAGTTTTTATTAGCTAACACCGTCTGCATATTAAATATGGCAAATACGGTTAGTTGTAAACACTATCGGTAGATGAGATGAATTTGTTTAAAGAAAAGAATTAATTGAATATGAAGAAACGCCTTCCTGATTACCTTGGCTTTGAAAGTAGTTTCATAATTGACTCACTAGGTGTTAATAGAAATAATAATGCGACAGAAGTAGGTTTATGGTGTCATTTTTCTTCGTAAAAAGGACTTTTACAGTTCCCATAAAGATTTTGAAGGATCGCGCGTCGAAAATGCATCTTGATGATCGTAAAAGATGACCGTAAAAGGAGTATGAAAATTTAACAAACTGAAAAAGGACTGGTTATTGTATGATGTGTTTTAGTTTCGCAAGAGTAAATAAATTACTACACTGAGTAGATCTTACGGTAGGATTACTTTTAAATAATTTTCCTCTGGTGGAATAAGAAGTGTGGATAGGGAAGGATGGGGAAGAATAGAGAAGAATGGAGAAGAATGGGGAAGGATTCAGAAGGATGGAGGAGGATGGGGAAGGATGGGGAAGGATGGAAAAGAGTAGGGAAGAGTAAGGAAGAGTAGGGAGGGAATTAATAACGTCTTCTTATACGTTACAATACTTGTTATACATTACAAATTAACAATTGTTAATAATTTTAATTAGGGACTATTAATAATTTAGTTATTTACACATCTATTTTAAATACCTAAATATTTTGCGAAAATAAATTCGTGTTTACAACGTTCTAAATGCTTTCGTTAAAAATCGAAAAGTTAATAAACACCCTAATTACATATGTGCATTGCATTGGCAACTGATTTTAAAAATGTGCCAGCCAAAACACTTAAAATAACGTTTTTTTGGGGAAACTCCCATTGGCAAGTAACCTACAATTCGCATCATTCTCAGTTGATATTAGTTTTTCGAGAGCGGGTCATTTATTAAAAGCGCCTCGAATATTTTCGCCCGTAAATCGCGATTGTAAATTTTTTAACCGCATGATTTATAGTGGTAAGTGATGCTCGTATATTTTTACTTATTCAACACCTCATTCGTATTTCTCGTAAAGTTCTATAACGTTTTCATATAAATTCTCACATACATAGACACTCAGTGGTCCTTATTATCTCTGCAATTTTAACAAAAATATCAAAACTTGCGAATAATTCATTTAATTTCAATATACCTACACTATTTTTTATGTGAATTTTAATCCCATTGGTTCATTAGAAGAATTAGGTTTGCAAGTAGATGAGTCGGAAATCTCTCTCTAATTTAATTAGGTTATGTGCAGAGGTATTTAATCTTTTGAAAACAAAGCATCCGAAATTAAAACCGGGAATTCGCATTTGCGACGTCCTTCTTTTTATACAGAAAAAATTCTTTCCGTCTGATTGAACAAAACCTTCACAAAAGTAATGCCATACCTTTGAAAAGAAATGTTTAAATTTCCTTTTCGGATACAGTTGTTTGCCTTTTTTTTGTTTGAAACGTAATATTTTCAAAAAAAAATCGTTAGTGTGTTCCTATAATAATGTATAAGGTATATGCACCAAATCATAATTCTAATTTATCATATTTTATTTTCTATATATACCTAATTTATTTTTAGATATTTAGGGTAAAACCCTATTAAAAAGATACGATCTAAAGGTGGTCAGTTAAATTTATTTAATGATTATAAAGCGTGTGTTTTGTATGAAATTTCTAATGCCTTTTCCTGTCTGGTTTCATTAAAGTGTCAGTTTACTTAATTATTTTCCCCATATTAATTTCCACTGTACCTAATGATAAATGATAGTTTTTTATGATGTGCGAGTAAATAATAGTCTGTAAAGGTAGAATTTAGACTATGGGTGCAACAAAGACAACTTGCATAAGTCTCGTATAAAGGAAAAAGAAAAAGTGATTTTTAGTTGGATTGCAAATTTCTTATTCTAACCTATGTTATTTTAATAAGTACTTATATACTCTAGAAATATTTAGAACAATTTAGAATGCTTCAGGATGACTAGAACTAGTTCAGAAAAATTAAGAAGGCTTCAAGGTGTTTTCGAACTAGCCCAGCACAATTTAGAATGCTTGAAGACTTTTAGAAGTACACCTTTGTAGATAATATAACAACGGCTTATTTGCGATGTATCTACAATATCTTTCGATTCAAAAGCCAATATATTTTCGATAGTAAACGACATTTGATTCCCAAAGTTTCCACTTCACCTGAGACTTCATTATCATTTACACCGCGCGAGGGGGATATCCAATTTTTCGCTATTGCAGCCTCGCGCTGTACGAGTACGTAAGTGCATCGAAATTACGTTACTTATCCGCCGTGCAATTTTACTTTTCCATTTCGTTTCTTTTAGCGCAATCCGCGCGTTTCAAAGGCGGAAAAGAGACGCGGAAAAGCCCCGCATTGTCGTCGAATAGATTCGAAATGGCGAATGCTAACATTCCCCGTGCGATCTCCGAACGAAACTGTACAAAGAATTTTCCGACGCCTTTCTTATTCGGACGGGAAAACATTTTCCTGTTTCATCGGCGTACGTGCGTAATGGTTTGTTACGGGATGATTTATGTTATGCGATCCCTTGTATAGGGTTTACCGGTTAATATTCCCAAATAGTATTAGACTGGGTAGGTATATTAGGTGATTGTCGCCTTAAATAATTGATTAGATGTTTACTGTTTGAGTGAAGTAATCGTAATTGCGATGAAAATTTTATAGGCTCGTATTTAGGTACGAGATGAAACGTTTAATCGTGTTTTAATGTTTAAAAGAAAGTCACTTTTCCTAAACGTAAATAATCGAATATTTCAAAATGGTACAATCAACATTCAAATAATTTATCAATAAATTATGATTAATTAATTCGTTAGTAATAATTTCGCAATATTATGTGGTTTTTATGGAGTTGAATAATCAATTTTTGTTTTCCCATCAATTCTAATCAAGTGGAAGCAAACACTAAATAATATCTGTTTACTCAACTTGTGGTGTTAATGA